CAGTTTGTAGTATATTACATACCATATGGTTTTCCTGATGTGCATCATGTATGACCGCATGGAGTGCAAGACTTGCTGTACCAGAGAGAGTTGAATAAACTTAGTTTGTCAAAACTGACTGGGAACGATTTGAATAATATTTTTCTTGTACAGATTATATATCTGAAAAATGAACCTAGAGTATCAAAACAGATCAAACAACTGATTTTGTTTGAATATCTGTGGACTTATATTAATTAAATTCTGCCTTGGTACTCTTGTGAATATGACACGATGAATGTCTGCATAAGATCTTTAAGAGGGGAAATTATAGTTTTTGACGAAATAACACATATATACTGAACCGCAAAAGAATCGTCACACCAAGTAATATTGCATGCACAGTTGTCATTTAAATATCTAAGTGTTTTTTGTCAAAGTTTCTAAAATTTAACAATACCTTGTCCGGATAATGAAATTTGATGATAAAAAAACAAAGCAGATGACAATAAACCGATCGCCCAAACGCATCACGGCAACGGCCATGGGAACCCGATGCACCTGAGTTCCGTGCAAATTGAAATACACATGCGTTCCCCCATTTCTTGCCCCCCAAAAAACAGTCAGATCGGATAACAGTCATCGTTATTAGATTGCTACCACATGCTAAGAATCTTGGTGAAGAAATCATCGACACCAAGCCCTTGGACGATTGCAAGCTGGACAAACCCCCGACAAGTAGCAAGAGCATTTCAAGTCCACGTAAGGACCATATACATGGTCCAGCAACGGAACCAGACCACCAACGCTACAGATGATCATCCGACGTCAGGATCGTCAGATTGTGCGACAGCATCTTCAAGATCGCTTTGTTACTGCTGCGGAAACTGCTCGACAGACCATGGGGACACACAAGCGACACATTAGTGCGAACACCGTGCGTCGACGATTGACGAGCAGACACCTCCACTGTCTGGCGACGTTATTCGGTTGCTTGTGTTGTTGGGAGAGACTCGTGTGGTGGTACGAGCATCATGGTGTGGGGTGGATTAGCTCTTGCACAGAGGGTCGGCCCTGTGGTCCTACAGAACGTCGGTCCAGGGAGAGGAAATGGTGTCACAGCAGCTCGGTACATTGATCAAGTCTTGAGACCACACGCCATACCTCATTTGGCATGTCGCCGCAACCACGAATTTTAAGCATGATAACGCACGTGCCCACACTGCGAGAGCAACAAGAGACTTCCTCCAGCAGTATGGCATTAGAACCATGCAGTGGCCTGACCGATTTAAATCTCATTGAGCACCTGTGGGACGAAATTCAAAGACGGCTGAATGACGACCGACCAAGGTCAACAATTGCAGCGGGACTGTGTCAGGCGTTCCTCAGAGTGCGGTCTCAAGTGCCTATGGCCTTCATCAACCGCCTCATCCATTACATGTATCGACACTGCACGGCAGTCATCAATGCACATGGCGGTAGATACTGACTTCTGATGCCATTTCCTCAGAGACTAGTGTTTCACTTTAAGAACATTTGACACTTTAATTTCAAACTTGATGATCAGGAGTAGGAAGAGAGTTGGTATTTTTGTATGTCAGATTTGGTTATATGAAGTAGCCGTTGACATGAGGGTTACCTTGGAGCTCTTGGAGCCTTCCTCAAAGCGGGGTAGGAAGAGGATTGGTATTTTTGTATGTCAGATTTTGTTATATGAAGTGGTCATTGACATGAGGGTTACCTCGGAACTAATGGGGCCTTCCTTAAAGCAGAGGGATGTAAACCAGTGGTATGCACTGAACATACAACCTAGCATGGGAGAGGAAAACTAGTGGTTGATACTGAACATACTGCCCAGCATGTGTGGGAGGTAAACCAGTAGTTAGTACTGGACATACAACCCAGCATGTGGGAGGTAAAGCAGTGATTGATACAGAACATACAACCCAAAATATGGGAGGTAAAGCAGTGATTGATACTGGACATACAACCAAGCATGTGGTAAGTAGACTGGTGGTTGATACTGAACAGACAACCCAACATGTGGGAGGGAACCAGTGGTTGATACTGAACATACAACCTAGCATGTGTGAGGTAAACCAGTGATTGATACTGAACATACAACCCAGTATGTTGCAGGTAAACCAGTGGCTGATACTGAACATATAACCTAGTTTGTGGCAGGTAAACCAGTGGTTGATACTGAACATATAACCTTGTATGTGTTTCAGTGGTTGATACTGAACATATAACCTAGCATGTGTGAGGTAAACCAGTGGTTGATAATGAACATACAACCCAGCATGTGGTAAGTGAACCAGTGATTGATACTGAACATATAACCTAGTATGTGTTCCAGTGGTTGATACTGAACATATAACCAAGTATGTGTGAGGTAAACCAGTGGTTGATACTGAACATATAACCTAGCATGTGTGAGGTAAACCAGTGGTTGATACTGAACATACAATCCAGCATGAGTTATTCGTTGGATATAGATAATGAACATGCTATGCGACCTGGATCAGGCAAATCAGCGAAACTAACTGTCTGCATGTTATGAGAGACTGTTGATGCATGTTGTTTGTATATCTCCATGTACTCCTGTTGGTTAAGTGAGAATATATGTTGTTATTTGGGAATATTCGTTCTAAGGTTTATGAAATCAATTGGTAGTCTGCCTCTGGATTGTTTGTATGATACAAACATATGTGGTACTGCCCAACTCTCTGGTGTGCCCTAACATGGCTACCTGAACTGCTTGTCATATCCGACTGTTTTTTGTGTGTCTGAATATGTGTTATTTGATCTGTTTGTACATCCGACGTTTGGTGTGTCATAATATGGTGATTTGGACTGTTTGTTATGTCCGACTGTTGATCTTTTAGTTAACCTTATGGATTATCTGTAATTATATGTTAGGACAAGAGTCTCGTCATGGGCCTCTCACAGATATTGAAATGTAGGTGCAGGTTTGAAGATATCATGCACGTTAACCCATCATGTTGAAAGATCATTACTAAGTGAGTTTGGTTAAGGGTCACTTCAGCATTTCAGTTATATCACAGTGTGTCAGATTCGTGTTGACTGCAATCAAGTGATGCGGGTCTTAGATGTTTACCACTCTGTTGAAACCCACGAGCAGAGATAAAATGATTAATAAATATTTCAAACAACATTCAGGGCCATCAACATTTTGGGAAATCATTTTAATCATATGACAAAATATATATTTAGACAACATGACAGCAATAATACAAGTGCATGTGAGATAACGGTACATGTGATTTTGATGCTTCATCAACATCAGGTCCCATATCTTCCACAACATAAAACTGCAAAAGCTGCTCAGGGTACAAGAAGTTAAGCCATCTTTTCAGCTTATTTTACCGTATGTCATATTTTAAGAAGTGTGTAACTACGACATAACTACAAGTAGACATTCTTCAAGCCAGTCACTTCTAACATAACACAATGCATGAAACAAAATGCAAAATAATAATACATAACGTGAAAATTCATATGTACTTCACCCAGCAAAAGATCACTGTGATCATATCCTCATCAATCACATTAACTCACACAATCAAATCAAGAGTTCATTCAGACAATAGGGTTCTCTCAGATTTTTTATTTTGTTTGATTTCTGCCTCTCCATTCTGTGTTTTTCACAGTGGATAAGGTGACTTGTCTATATATTTTCAAATAATGATTACACTTGTGTGGCTGTTTATACTAGTCTATACTGATATTATGTCGATTTTATCGTGTAAGCCTACTGAGTTACAATGCCGCAGTTTAACATGGACACCCCACGCAGTCACAGTATAGACTCCGAGCCGACCATTCCTTATTTTGTCCATTCTGGCCTGAACATCCTAGTGCTGAAGGTTTTGACTCGTGTGACGATAGGTAAATTGAGTTATTGAAAAAAAACATGGTAAGATTGGGGCGAGATCAAGATTGTTGCATATACATGTGTGTCTGTCTGCTTGTTATTTGTGTGGATGCGCTGATTTTACAGTACTTGCCCACTTTATGTTGATAACTAGGCAGGGTAACAAAAAATACCATCATTCTACGCCTCTTGATATGACGTGGTCAGGGGCTCGAACCAATGACCTCCCTCTCTTGCTACTAGACCCCTGAGGCGGCACTAGTCTGTCTTATCAGGTGGCTTTTTGTGTGCAACGTTTGGAGACTAAGCAGTTTGTAAATCCACACAGCCCATCTCATCACAGTTAGTAAACATATTCACTTGTCAGTAACTGATAGCATCACATTAATCTTTGTTGTATATTATATATATCTTATTAGTATCTGAGGCCAATAGGAGAAAAGTACAACATATATACATTAACAGTGGACATACATGTAGTTGACAGTGAACCTTGACAATGAAAATGAAGACGGGTTTACAAAACAGTATTTCATGCGAAATATGTGGTACAACAGAACCGCTAACATTAACAATACGTTTTGAAAGGGAAGGTGGCCATGGTCGCAGTTTGTGGAACCACCACGGCAACATTGGTCCGTGTATTACTAGTCATGTCAAGGGGTGGCATGGGAAACTAAGTCCCATCCCATCTGAAAACTAAATTGTGATGCAGAGGAGGTGAACAGGTGCGCAAGGAGAAATATGCAGAATTGGACAATGCCCTGGCCGTATACAAGAGACAAATTGATAATGAACAGAAATGTGCTATCGGGTATGCTGTTGCTCTATATCAGACCCGATAGGTTCGAAATAGTGAAAACTGTGTATAAAAAGTTTATGTATTTACTGGACAATTAAAACTGACACAATCATTTCGAATTGCTTTTGCATTGAAAACTAGCATACAGACTAGAGTCGGCAACTCTTTAATATCGAAGCAACATGTGGAAAAACCTTTCCCCCGGCACCTTAATGAAAGGATGCCGGACGAGCAGGACGACCCTGAAACAATATATCCACATCAGTATGGCGGGCGAACAGGACCACCCTGAAACAATATATCCACATCAATACGGCGGGCGAGCAGGACGATCCTGAAACAATATATCCACATCAGTATGGAGTAGAACATGCACATTTCATGAGATGGTTCTGTTTTGAGGTATATATTCTTTTCTTGGAAACAATATATCCACATCAGTATGGCGAGCGGGCAGGATGATCCTGAAACAAAATATCCACATCAGTATTGAGTAGAACATGCACCTTTCATGAGATGGTTCTGTATTGAGGTATATATTCTTTTCTTGGATATTTAGGGCATATTGACAATACGTGACATCCATGTTCATTATGGTGTTTACAATATACATGTAAACAGGCTGTATTATTAATCTTTTAGAAATGTACATAATCAAGAAGACAACATTCGGTGCATTCGACTTATATGTTTATAGTAAATTAAAACATGTTGTATACATATATGAATCCACTATCTGCCTCTCAAAACTGTTAATGGATGTGCATTGTACGAACGCTTCAGCGATTTCATTCTTGTGCAGTAACACTGGATGTGTGCTGCCTTCAAATTGACAGTCGGTAACTGGAAAAATAACATCGGTTTCATCGTGAATGTTCACAATTCTCAATGGCAATGCCAGTATTCCACATGATCACTACATGGATACACGAGCATCTCTTATACCTCATACTGCTCATACTGAAAGACTTCCGTCACATATAAGTCATTTGATTGCCACGTAGTTGTTTCTGAGTAGAAACTATCTACAAGTCTTTGTTTGGTTATTGTCCCTATCATGACCACCTCTCTCACGCCACGACATCTCGACAGTGCCTTGAGAATCGTTGTCACCATCACGACAGCGCCTTGACAATCATTGTCACCATCACAACAGCGCCCTGACAATCATTTTCACCATCACGACAGCGCCTTGACAATCATTGCCACATTCACAACAGCGCCTTGGCAATCATTGTCACCATCACGACAGCGCCTTGACAATCATTGCCACCCTCCCAACAGCGCCTTGACAATCATTGCTTTCTTTTCTTCTGTCATGTTGATGTCGCTGACCACTACAAGTGTCATGCTGACAGTGAGGAGACGTGGGTTATACACCCCGAACATCGGCCACAGTGGCTGACTAGAGTCTACATTGTCTAACGTCGAGATCACTTTATTCTCCTTCACATCAATGAAGACAATCTTCTTCCTGGTGTCATCATAGACAACACCGTAATGTAGTGTGTGTGAGGCCCCTGCTGTGTTGGGGAGAGGGTCAGGCAGACACAGCACATTCTCCTGCTCCTGCCCTGTCTGCCTGCATACCCCGCCGTGTGTAGTACAGCGGGCGACTGTCATGCACCAGGAGCTGGGTTGGGCAGCTATACAATGATGCACGTCCCTCTGCTCCTCCCAGCACACACCAGACTCTAGGATGAGGTTGTTCCCTGTGAGTGGTTTGTTCAGACTGACCCTGTTCGTCACCTCCCAGTACTGGGGAGAGCCAGCCCGAGGGAGGGGGGCAGTGCTACATGTGCCCCTGTACTTCTTCAGTCTCCCCTCCCCTGCAGGTCTGGTGTCCGACTTCCTGTTGACCAGGTCTCCTTCTGTGTTGATGTGGACGTAGTCGAGATTAACTCTGTCTTTGTCATACTTCAGATGTATACCTACAACATATGAATGTAGTTTACATGTACATAAACAAACAGTGACTCATAGTAAGAATAGCTTTATCAATTAAGCCTGAAAATAATTGGGAGTGAGCAAGACACAGCATGATATGTGGCTTCTACGATTGTTTTCAGTTGAATGCAACTATTAAATAAACAGATTACGTTAAGATGAGATGTTACACAAACGTCCATGTATAATGACACCAACACATGCCATGCAAATATCACATATCACTTTAACCCATGGTGTTCATACTCCAAGGGTAAACTATGCAGGACTGGATTTTACGTGTATTCTGCGCGGTGCACATCACCTGGGGGGCTTCGGAGGCAGAATACTAGTACATCCCCTTCACAAACCTTTATGTCGAAACAGGCGACAATATAGACTGAGTGAGTGAGTTTTTAATGCCGCCTTTAGAATATTCCAGCATTATGTCGGCGAGGAACACCGGAAATGCGCTTCATGTATTGTAACCATGTGGGGAATCGAAGCTGGGACTTTGACGTGCGACTAGAAAATGTTGGGTTCAATGATTGATCTGGCTGATTGTGTGTCATCGTACCCCGACAGCGTTGATCGTTGCTGAGACCATCAAATACTGATGTATTCTGCCCAGACTCGATTACCACCGTGAATCGGGTAAAATATTGCTGCATGAAACCTAAATCAACATTCACTCACTCACACAGGCGACACCTCTCAACTTCTCTGGCTGACTGACATAAAATGACAGACATCTGTCAACCAACAATAATAGATTATAAAAGCTAGGTAGTTGGATAAGGGAACGTTGTGTTTCAAACCCATATAACTCCTTGTGTTACTCGTAGTAAATAGGAACTCATCAACGTATATCTCTGCAGCCGTTGAAATATGCTGCTCGTCTCGCATCAAAACACCGGCTGTATCCTCGTGAGCAGATGGCCACGGAGTACGCTGATCACCGTGTCGGATTAACGAGACTGATTAATATTGATTTCAGCAATTCGTTGAAAATTAGGTGTGTCGGAGTCGGAGTGCGAGACTTTCGGATTAACAGGTCCAAAAAGCACTGATTTAATCGGTTCCCATCATTAGTGTCGGATAAAGCTGATTGTCGGATTAACAGGTGTCGGATTAACGAGTCTTGACTGTATTATTTGCCACAGTTTTGACAGTAAACAAAATCCGCTAAGTTAAGCGGCCAATGCCAACGCATTCGAATCTGATAACCGCACGAGCAACTATGCACAGTAAAACAGACTGAGTTACATACAGGCCTTGTGCAAGTCGAAGATGTTATTCCTTTGTTGATTCGTTTTATGTTGTCCAAGTGAAACAAAGCAAATATGCCATTAGTCCTGGAACTCACATTGCGTAAATATTTTCTTGTATTTATGTGCCGCGCGCTCATTAACAATCTATAATGATACGTTGTCAACCAATACACTTTATCAATATAATTTCCATGTCGCAGGTTCTTTGTTTTTGATCTACTTACCCTCACCTTTCCACATCCTGTAATTCTTTACATGACCCCAGACACAGGTCTATTTATATACAGGCATGTAAAGTGTTCAGAGGGTCTTTTAACATCAATGTTTCACACGTTTCATTCTTGGAAAATTAAGCCTCACCCGCAACAGTAAAGACTGTTCCTGACGTTAAAATCACCTTGTTATATTCTCACCTGATAACAATACCATTGACGTTTTAAGGGAACAACCGATCCAGTGTTGAATTTGGGAATTTCTGCCAATCCCCTCACCTTCCAAAACTAAAAACGTATTGCTGACGCAGTTGAAATCACTTTGTATTCTTTAAACGATACCTTTGACATTTTTAGAACATTTCTATGTCATCTTTTCTGTGTTTTGCTGCTGGTTTCAAGTGTCAAATGCATCAACCTTTCATTATACTTTGCAGATTTTAACTTACAAGTAAGGAATCGTGCTTGTTGTTATTGCAGAAAGGTTTGCTTATTTATGCGTATTCTCTTGGTGGCAAAAGGGGACAGGTCTAAATGAAAGTAGGTAAAAACTTGAAACAAATTTTGTATACAGTCTCAAACAGTCTCACACAGTATGATTAAATATGTAATGATACAAGTGTTCACAAGATTGGTCAAGTTTCAAATCTGTCGTTATCCAAATTAGACTGCAACGAGCGTCATGCTGGCTCCTGGTTTCCAATCTGGTGCAACCTGCATGTTAATATATCGTGCCAAACAGCCATTAATATTGCATCTATATCACATCTTGCTGTAAGTAATGACTATGGATCATTTTGACACAATGATACACACTCTCTTATGGCCAACACCCGGTCTTCATTGCTTAAGACAAGTATGGACTACACTAATATTCTGTTTTCTACTCAATCAAATGTGTCATTCGTTATATTGTAAAAGGGTAAATGATAAATGTACTCACATTTCAGCAGCATGGATGTGTCTACAGCTCCTTGATTCAGCAGATGAACACTGTATTCACTGGCTAAATCTGCAACATCAATGTACAGTTTCTTGCTTGACATGTCAGTTATGTAAGGATATCATTCGTACATGTTTACCATATTAATACAATTGTTATGCTAACTCGTCAGATTAATTTTGGATGCATGATTATTGGAGGTCAAGGAAGAAGGGAAATGTTAATTACCACGCAAGAAATCCATGGTTTGGGTTGCTCTCTTCTCGACGTTTTCCTTCTCGTCAATGCGCTGAAAATATAACAAATATTAGATTGTCATGGTCTGCCTTCAATAATGTGTGCGTTCAATAATTCGCTAATGAACGTTTACTATCTATGTCAAGAATAAGCCATTTATATAGAGACCACTCACTAACACTGCATTAACTAAGCATCTCCTCTAAAATGTTTTAAGTAATGTAATTACATTTTGTGATTTCATCTTTATAACACAATTCTGAATATAAGGGTAGAAAGTATCAATACGTGTGGGTTAATAAACAAACCGATTTCAAGCTTTTGATTTCAGCATTCAGCTGGTCTGTAAGCAGGTTAAGATTTTCAATATGTTTCTCATCTGCATCAATTTTCGTCTTCAGTTCTGTAATGTCCTGCAATAAAAATCTTCAACATGATGTAACCTGACAGTAGAGTTTACTTCTAGTGAATGTCTGAAGTGTAAATGATTATGTCGGTCGGAAAATATCGTGCACTGAAGTGGCCAATCTGTACCCGAAGTTTAAGTTAGAGTTACCTCCCTTATTTGTTGTTAACATGAGGAGAGGTTGGTGGTCAAGAAGTTCTGTGACTTGCTCTTAAAGGCTGCCTGTACCGTAATACGAGCAATACTATGGTGATACGTGGTCTTGAACGACCTGACTGGTGTCTTATCTACTTGCATAGTGCGGATGGGATACCTATCTGAAAACATCAAAAGCTCTGCAGCATCCAACAACACTAGTGATTGAAGTACGGAGCCCATGAGTCCATCAAAATATGTAATAGGGCCTGTTACTCATTATTACTGCCACTTTATTGACCCATTCTATTTCCTGCATTTTGTGCTTGTTGAACCCGAGCTACAATTTATTAATTACTCATTTATCTTGTGTAGTAATTTACTGATTTCACAAATTAGTTTTGTTTGAACTGATTTCTTGGTTAATCACCTCATACCAAGGTTATATAATAAACACAAAAAGTTAATGAACTGATGCTATCTCTCAAATTGATAAAACCAAATCATGACTGATCATATAAATTTCCAGTCTGTTGGTCAATTTGCAGACACGAATTCATTATGTATTACCACTTACTATACTCACCATTTTGTGTTTCATTTCCAAGTCTGCAATAAAGTCGTATGTCTGCGTATCCTTGTCTGGCAGAAAAACGGATAGGACATGATCAAAGATTTACATGACTGGTATTACAACTGGAAAATTGTCAAACCGGGTCTCACATTTTAGAACCATTTTGAAAGAGGTTGAAAAAGAATGCAGTATAAAACATCACATACCATGATCGAATGACCAACACATATTTTCACATATGAATACCTTTAACAGATTCTCCACCCATTTCACACGTCAAAATGGTACCAAATTCTGATATTCTTGATTTCAGCTTTGACAGGCTGCTGGTGTTGTAGACAGCTGTAGGTATGTCATGTGTTTGTGGCATAACAGTGTCCAGGCATACCTGAGTCATCTTCCCTACACAACTCTCCAGATCCATGAGGGCTGACTTTGAGGCATAGAGGAGGGCTTTGGCGATGTAGTCTAAAACCCCAGTGCATGTCTTCCAATCTTCTTGACATGTGTTTAGACGAGCATGTAGAGTTGCCTGGGTCTCCTTTGTATGACTTTCAAGATCGACCAGAAGTTCCTTCTCTCTTTGATCAAGTTGTGATCTCAGAGTCTGGAATGTGTGGCCAATACTTTCTTTCAAAGTGTTGTATGTTCTGTCGGTTGCTTCGCTTCCTTGCCTGATGCTCTGCATGTGTGATTGCTGGCGAGCCTGTAATTTTGACAGCTCATTCTTATGATGGTCTAACTGTTTTGTTATAGTATCAGCAACCACATCAATCTTCTTAACTTCGTGGTCAGAATGGTCTTCAATCCAACATCTCGCACAGATTAACTTCCTGCAGCTTTTATCAAACAGATAAAGGGAGTCATGTTTATGGATACTGCAACATGTTGGAATATTCGAGGATGTCGGTTCCATGTCAGTGAGGTTTTGAAGTACATGTGTCCTGGTAAGTTTGAAGTTGCTGTGCATGTTCTGGCAGTATTCACAGAGGAACTCGTCACACTCCTGACACCAACACACAGCCTGGTTCCCGTTATCTTCATGTGTACAGATGAGGTCTGTGGATCGATGTTTGACTGTCAGGTGGTATATTTCCTTCTGTCTCACTGCATCCTTCTGGAGACTTGTGTCTGTGAGGTTGACCTTCCTATGACATGTAGAGCATGATATCACACCGCCAGCTGCAGATGTCACACACGTCTCACACACAGCGTGTAGACAGGGCAGTAAGTAGGGCAGTGGACCTTTCAGGGTAAACTGCAGCTGACAGACTGAACACATCGGAAATATTTCTATTCTGAAAGGCACAAAACGTATATCAGCGGCTAAGATCTGTTTAATGTTGTGACACGTACCAATCCACACCAACATTCAAATTAAGTGTACACTGCGTTACAATATTACAGAGTTATCCGTGGATGTTTTGCATGAAAATAATTTAAACATGCCCAACATCTAAAATGTTTGTAAACTCAAAGTTGTCACTAACAAATATATGGAAGGTGCTGCTGCCTAGTGGCTAAAGTGATAGCTTGCCACGCCAAAGAGCCATGTTCGATTCATTACATGGATATAATTTGTTGTGCCCGTTCACTGTGTCTTGCCATTTTATTTTTTTTAAAAATAATTTACGCTTTATATCTACGATCAACTGTTTAAAACTAACTAATTGCAGCACACAATGTCGTTTATTGCAGACATCCAGTAATCGTCTCACAACATTAAAACACATCCACACGATACATTCAGATACACCATACATTTACTCAATAGAGGCAGGTCCAATTCCTTCACTCTGCATTAAGGATCACAAACACAAATATCATAGTAACAAAAATCGTGCTTTTTTTCCATATAATCAATATGGGTGCAGTGTTAAAATGAACATGGCTCAACCCATCCCGCTTCTATGGTTATCCTACACGGCGGAGGTTTATCTGTACATAACATATCAGTGGCTAATGTGGATTATGGTTTGTATGAATAACGACTGGACTGGTAGAAAAGTAGGAGTGTGTGACGGTCAGCGATTATATAATGTTGACACTGGCGTTGAATTCTTGTTAGTCAGACAGTACACACTTACAAACCTGGAAACAAAGGTGAATTTTTCACTTATCACAAATGCCCCGAGTTCTGTTTGCGTACTCACGCATACAATTGCGTTAACACGAAACACGGGACACTATTTGGCCAGATTTTTTTTATATCATTTGATTTAATCTGCAATAAAGTGAGAACATTATCAAGATCTGGATCAAATCAGTTTTATTATGATTATTTTCTCAAGGTTCACTAATATTACAAATAATACTGATGTGATTTACTTCCTCAACACTTAAACATATCCATCAAAAAGGAATTATTCGAGTTCCTGTACTCGGCAAACTTCAAGAAGTAAGTATTTGTTGATTAGTCTTAGATATGCGGGCGGTTACAAACAAGTTAATGCCAGCATATATATTTGTTGATAATTAGAAATAATATTGTTAACAAAACTGCCGAAAGGTACAGAGTCTAAAATATTGACAGAAAATGGTTTCACCTTACCATTACACAAATCTTTTAAATATAGACATTTGTGTCGTGGTTATGTTTAACGCTCTGCGTTAATAATCCCGAAAGAGAAATAATTCATTTTATTACAACACTATGAGCATTTTAGGTCACCAGCCCTTTCAGGTCGTGACATATCCTTTAACATTGGCCAAGGTGGAATTCTGCAAACACAACACTACCACAGTAGTGAAATATATATATTTGATTTGACATGATCGTATCAAAGTGAGTGAGTGAGTTGGGGTTAACGCCGCATTAAACAGTATTCCAGTTATATCACGGCGTGTCAGCTTAAGCGAACTGGGATTCGAACCCACAAGCATAGGTTTCTGGCGTCCCCAAGGGACGGAACTCTTCACAGCAAATCGCGGCGCTTTAGACGACTAGGTCACCCGTGCCCCTACTCTCCTCTCCCCCTCATCTCAAAAACCATATAATAGAGTAAGTAAGTGAGTCAATGGGTGAGTGAGTATATTGTGTGCAAACGATATCCTAGTTATGCATAACACGATAAAGGACAACCAGTTTTCGTTATATTCAGGTGATTTCTGGTCATTGTCAAATATGACCCTAACTATAACAGTGAGGACATTTCGATCTCACACAAGTATCATCAGGCAACAAACAGTAAGTGGTTGTTTTTTTCACAGCACAACAGAGTTCGAAACAATAATCAACAGATTGAAATAAAATAGTCAAAGTTCCACGTGTATCCGCTGTTGCGAATCTTTGGAATGGTGATAGCATGGGTAAAGTTACAAACATTCTACATTCCAAAGAGTGAAATTTCAAAAGAACTGCAACATGGTCGCCGAGTGTGGGACACGACAAATCATCTCGGAATACGTATGTATGTATGTATGTATGTATGTATGTATGTATGTATGTATGTATGTATGTATGTATGTATGTATGTATGTATGTATGTATGTATGTATGTATGTATGTATGTTATGCTTGCTTTGTACAATGTGTGACAATGTTAAGAGTTTCTTCTTCTTCTTCTCGGGCCGATGGGGTAGTATAGTGGTTAAATCGTTTGCTCTTCACGTCAAAGGCCCGGTTAAGGGTTATGTATATAATGTACTATTTGCATTGGAGACAACCCCCTGTTAATCCGGATTTCACGAATAAATCGCACGTTTTTAATTAAAAAATCAGCAGGTCACTGCGAATGAAACACGAGGTACATAGTATAGATGTGGTGATTAGGGACTTATATCCTTCAAGCTGAGACGTTGTCTGTGTGTGATTAAAGTTCTGGATAAATACTCCTCACACATTAAGGTTTACAGACAAATGAAAGAGTGTTATGAATGACCTGATTTATCCAATTTCTGATATTGTGTCACTTATTATTAATCTCACTTTATTGAATTGTACTAACTCCACTGCAATGGCCCACGGCTGTTCTGTTTGTTTACTTAAATGTAGTAAAGCTTACCAGTAAACGTTGTCCCCTGTAAGTGAAATATTCACTTGTGTACCGTTATCAGAAATATGATTCGCAGAATCGTCTTTGGGACAAGTCTATTTATGACTGAACAACAAAATTTCGACGTTCTGGACCGCACCAATGTAACTGTATTAAAGAATAGTCCGTCGTCCAATGACCATATGCTGAAAAAATGACTTTCTTACAGGGTAACGGGAAGCAGGGGAGGCTCATCATTTTGAATCTCCATTGATGGAAGTTGAGAAAAACACCACTAATGATCGTTGTGATGAGATTACACAATGCAATGCGAAAGTGAAAACAACCGTCAGCGATATGAATGTTTGAATCCAGTACCTCGCAGCATGATGTCGCACGGCATATAGCACGTTGGAGTTAGAAAATAAAAGAGACTGTCAGGGCTGTGGACTCCCACAGGTGACAATTCTTCGCCAAAATGTATGTCTGGGATGAAATCATAGAATCGCGTTTGTGATGCCTTCCAAATCTCCGAGCAACGCTGTAGGAATTCCGATCTGTGAACACATTTGCTACTGGCTGTGAGAACTTGCCTATGTGACTTGACTCATTTGCATATGACTGGAGCGCTCATCACATGGACTGTTAGTAGTTAGTTTACCGTCAGACATTTAGGAGAAAAACATACGGTGTTTTCAGTGTAGAAATAGGTTACGCTAGCTTGAATTTAAAACCGAACGTGCCTTACGAGGTTTCAAATGTTAAATTTGGCGTGGTTACATATAGAGGTAACCCAGCTCTACTTTGAAAACACAGTATGTTTATCTCCATTCTACCATGACTAAATACAACGCGAACTCATTGATGTTAAAATACATTGAATGGACAGGTATGGGCTGAGTCCAGTGTTTTGAGTGGGTTGTCAGTCAGAATTTACAGAATTCCCGACAACAGTCTTAAATCACCGACAGGCACTGAAAGCATGTAGTACGGCACTTTGTGAGCTAAAATGAGGAGGACAACCAATACAAAAAATATTCAAGCCTTGCAATGATTTTGTTCTACACCACATGCCATTATTATGACGTCATATCGCTCATTGTGACGCACAATATATGACGTCACAATCGTATATAGAAAAGCGCCAAATAGCAAGATATCTGTTGACCTCGAAATTTGAAATACATTCTCTTTGCATTTTTCTATCGTTTATTCTGAACGAAAGGTATTGTCACATAACGTTTGAATATTGTATCAACCGCAACTTTGCGTTTTGTAGCCTATAATTTTAGATATCATTTTGGAATATGCGTACAGACAATGACTGTGAAAGAAGTACTGATTATATAATATGGGCTTTCGTGGTGATGCGGCAGTCAAATCGTCTGTTTCAGTCAGAGGAGGTTTTCGTAATTCAATAGCTCTGATAAACAATCAAAATCGGGTATTTTCAAAATGCATGGCAAATGTTCTTTCCATGTGGTAGAAATCCATCGTAGCAGCTTATAATGTGTTTTCGTAATTACTGACACAAAATGAAAATGTTTGATCATAACTTGAATAAATGAAAATAAGTTTAGCAGTTAAAATAATACTCGCATGACAAAGAATGACGGTTGCATAACAAAATGAGTGCACATGATATTCTGGTAGGCATTGGTTCCAGCAGCAACATAGGGGATTACAGCACCACACCAAGACCAAGAAGACACAATTTAGTGTGAACAGTAGGTGTTGGTCGCATACATAATCCGACCTAATCCCACATGTGATCTATCGCGTTCAGATCTGGGGGAAATCAGAGCAATTCCTTGACAATACTGACTGTTGAAAGGAATTGCTGTTTGATCTTTGCAGAGTTGGGTCGGACGTTATGCTGCTGGAAAAACAACTGACGCTGAAAACGTCTCAGCAAAGGCTGCAGAGCAGACAGCAGGACATTGTCCATAAAGGATTGAGCCGTGAAACTATCGTTAATGCCAATAAGGTCACTCCTAAAGACTTAGGACAAGATGGTGACGAGACATGGTTACACGACGTCGCACTGGTCGGGGTCTGTTATGAGCGCTAGCTACCTATTTGTTAAAAACGTATCGGTTAATGGTTGTTTGGTTAGAGTGGAACTTGTTTACGACAGCCTATAACAATTCAAGAGCTGGATGCCTCTCTGCTAACCACAAGCGTGTAATGTTGAAGAGATGTGATACTCATAGATAGCAACAATATCCTTTTTTATAATTCTAAGAATGTTTTCCTCAGAACAGAGTCTATTGTACGATTCCGACTAAAGAATAAGTTTATAGTTATGAATCACTATCAAATAGTGATGGTACGTACCAAGGTGAGCGTAACTTTCCTAATGGTAGCACGTCTAATGCAACGACAAGTCAATAGTTCAAACACGTATGACACATGTCAAAATAGGGACCTGCATCCAACCAACAGCTCCTTGGTCACTGATAACAAATTGGAAATGTCCTGGTGATGCCAGTTTGTTAGAAACAAAGAGGCGTTACTGTGTCTAGGGGAACACCGGAAGGTTTCACCACAACATTTATTGACATTCAACCGCCATGCAAATGTCAGGAAAATGGTATTTTTCAGGTAAAGTTGTTGAAAATAAAACCATGTTAGCCACGAAATATTTTCAGATGTTACAGTATGACGCGTAACTCGGTTTACATGAATTGCTTGTAAAGCGTACGTTCTGCAATTCACACACATGCCAGATATACTAAAAAACAGAAATCAGGTACTCTTTAAGTGTAATTTTAATTATCATTTTTGAAATTGGTAATGTTTTACAAGGTATGCGCCCGTTAGTATATTTACCCGGCAGACTGTAAGATAGTTTCGAATATTATTTGGGAGAAATAGGTTAGCGAAGATATTATGGTGATTCCATTTCAAATTAGAGCTTAGTAGTATGATACTGTGAGTGTCTTCATCTCCTTCATTTCATTTGACACGGTTCGGTGTCTATTAACACGTTTAAACACACCCTTCTTCTCACAGCAATAAAATCTTCCAAACTGCAAACTTTAATAGAAACTGATACACTTGCTACTGTAGACATAATATACAGTCTCATATATGCCAATCTCCTTCCATCAGAATCCAATACATTCGCTCAAATATTAAACTGAAATATTAAATCTTTATTTCATTGAAAATAACCTGAGGTGAAGGCTTGTCTAGGTTTTGCTGCTCGACTAAATACAGATTGATAATACACTTGGTGAAATCATCTGACCAACAACTGTTCCTGCTGTTATTATTACGTCCCAAAGTGTTGTAACAACAAATTCAAAATGAGTTATTAAATATCCTTGCGCCACTAATCTAGATTCCCGCAGGACTAATAGAATCACATGTCTGATTTATCATGTGTTTTGTTATATGAGGTAAGAGAATGGCTAACTTACACATCAACTGTTTAGAGTGAAGTCAGCTTGTCCAATATTTATAAGGTATTGTTAATGTTAATCCTTTTTAAAATATTTTTGCCGCTGAGAATGTAACCGTTTCTACGCAAATTTACCGCGGAATTATAAAGTACTATCTGAACCTAGACACCGAGATGTACCAGTATGCATCGAAACTCGACTTTAACAGTTCATTGTCTCTATTGTGAAAGTGCATCCGAGAACCCACACTTTTCGTCTCGTGGCATCGGTTTTCTCACTAGGGAAGAAAGTGGAGCTTCAACTCTTTGTAAGGTGAACTTCTACATCCCAACGCTACTCATTTCTTTCGTCGTGACGCAAGAACGTTCAGTTCATCCAGGACACCGTTTTCTGACAAAATGGCTGGTCTTAGTCATCTGTGTAAAATTAAGAACTCCGGGATCCAGAGTCCACATACGACATAAAAAGTTTAACTTGCTTTTACAAATTGTATATAATGACTTTTATCGTATCCAGGCATTGTCAGGTTCTATGTTTCACTGGGTTTGGTATCAAGTGATTAACCAACGAGTTGTATTATATTGATACAGTAGGTATACATGTATTAGCATCAATTAAGGAGTCAACAAGGAAAAACACAGAGACATATAAATACATCAGGTGCTAAAGTGTTTCAAAACCTTAGACTGAAACCTTATACAATGTTTTACATATGTCAAATGTGTTTTATATTTTCCAGATTTTTACCTTGTCTATCATGCGAAAGCTGCAGAAGTAATTCTTTGATTTCGCTCTCCAGTTTCTTCTTTTGCTGTTCATGCAGATAATTCAGTTGTGATACTTCCTCTTTGTAGTGTTGATTAACGCTGTTGATTTTACAGTCGTGATCGGTCTCCGCTGTATGTAATTGTTGTCGCAATTCATCAAGCGCCTTGAAAAATAAAATAAACATGTATGAAGGAAAACTAATATTTGATTCGAAAGCCTTGGGCGATGAGGAACAAACTATAATTTCAATTTAATGATTTATCATATCATGGGTATGTTTCACGGCTGAATAAAGCTAACAGACAGAAAACTATACACATAAAAAGACCGGTAGGCAGTACTTGCAGTATTTACAAATTAAACATAAATATCGAAACAGACGTAACAGTCAGGGAGTAACAGGAACTGTGATTATGAAAATAAATGTCTCAGATATTGGAAATCAGCGTCTAACTGGGGATAAGGTCTTTTAGAACTATACAAGTAATTTACCATTGGAGATATTTTGGAAATTAGCGAGATCGCTAATCATAATTTTCAATACCTGTGCCTGAAGCTTACTTACTAATTGTTGGATTTGGTCAAAATAAATAAATTTGGGATATTTGACACTCTTTTCTAAAGTGTCTCGTAGTTTCACACACTAAAGAAGCTTTCATTTGCCAAAAGAAAGGTTGCTTACTCTCACGGGCGGACCACTGGCGTCCTGCGAAGAATTACAAAGTTATTTTGTACTTTAAAAATATATTTAAAAAAATTATGAACATTGCATATATGGTAGTTAAATCATTGTCAGTCGGAATCGTATTACATACATCACGATCCGAATCACTGATATTACTACTGAATAAATACCATGTTTAAGCCTGATTAAGTATATTTACCATATCAACTCACACTCTCGTAATAACCCCATTTATCCACACCCTTGTTTTCCCTTATTTTCCCTATTTCTACCCCTGGTAATTTTAAGTCTACACCTAACCCTCCCTGCCCGCCTGAAGATTAGGTAATTCATCTGGTTTATTTGACCTATGAAATGAAATGTATACTTACATCTTGTTTGGATGTCTCTGACTCAGTGTCTCTCGGCAGATATGTCAGGAAGGACTTTATAATGGCTGTACACTTGTCTCTATTCATGTGCAGGTCGGCAGGGAAGCAGGTGCATTCTGCTGCATTCTCACGTTGGTCGATCCTTGCCAGAAAACTTTGTTTCTTCTGACATAAAAAGTTGTCTACAGCGGCGTGTACAACATTGAAATCAAATTTCGTATCCTCCTTCACATGTCTTACGATCAATCTCGCCAACTGAGTGTTGTATTGAATGCTCTTCTGGTTGACCCCATCCCTAGCTGTGAAAGTCAGCACCAAGACAGGCCGTGTAGGGGAGAACACACATATATCACACAGGAGAGACGCGAGGGCCAGCCCCTCCCAAGATGGGTCTACTACCTTCAGTAAGCTGCCTGCTGAGATGATGACTGTACGACCTCTGTCTGGTAGCTCCCTCAGCCTGTGTACAATGTGGGCATATTTTGTGGTGAGAATGCCTTCAATAACGGCCGGGAAGATGCCAAAGACTGAAACAACCACCACAAAATTAGTATGATATAAGTTTTGAAATCAACTGAGCCACCCATGCTCATCTTGTGCTAATGGTCATCATCAGCTCGGAAGCTAGGAAAGTTTGTATACATAAAGTCAAACAAATGTCGGGGTACAAATTTATATAAAAGTTTCTAAAAATGCATATATATGTGTGACATCTGAAAGAGATGATCCTTATGATAAACATTGAATTGTTTTCCCTTATTTAACTTGGAGAAAACTAAAGAGATAGACGTGGCTTACGTGCGTTTAAACAATTGGAATGTCCAGGCATAAAACTATATGTATTTAGTTGTACATGGTATATAATACATATATAACATATCACAAGGCACAACAAGAAACAGTTCATATGACAAAATCATACGGGCAGCATTTGATCGGGCGCAGTACATGTCAGGTACACTTATTGCATGTTCTGATATCAATCAGGAAGTCTCTATCTTACACGTACATGATTGTCCCGATTCATCTGATAGAATTCTCACTATTTTCCTTTGGTCTGTTATAGAGACACTTCTTAAAGGGAGCATATCACCTGAAACAGGTAAAGCAAACGGTTTACTTTCAAACTGTGCAGAGATAAACATGATGTATCTATCACAGAACAGACAAAAAGCCTAACCAGAAATCAATACTGGATCATCCGAGTCAGAAAGGTCATCACAGGTCAGTAATGGAACTTCTCCTTCCGAGCTGTACCTGCTGGGCACACTGGAGTCATCACTCTCGTCACTGTCACTCGTCTTGCTGGGAAACTCCAACTGCTCTGCCATGTTGAACGTCCCTTAAATTATTTATTTCCGGCTTTAAAACGCCCTAACCAGGTCGCTTTGTCCATCCGATGTATAGCCTTGTCCTTCACTTCATATGCCCTTGGTCCGTCCTTGTCATTGAAGATAATCACATCATAATATCGCACAGCTATCTCTAGAACACGCCTCTCATTTCCAGGTAGTGGATATAACCGCACTTCAATCAAATCGTCAGGGACACAACGGAATGTGTCCTTCTGTAAGGCTATTGTGTCACTTTGAAGTTTAGCTTTAATGGCTCTGATGAACTCAGATTCTTCAAATGTCATGCAAAACCCATCAATGTTAAGAAGTTTGGTTCTGTAACTCTCAATTTCCAGAGTGTCCTCACTTATCCCAACATAGTATGACCCACCTCCCTCAACCTTGGACATAGAGGTCAGATTATCCTTAAGTTTGAGATCATGCCATATATAATCTACGAAATCCGACAGACTTCTAGAAATTTGCTTTGTTACTTGATTCTTCAGTTTGCTAATATGGAAACGCTTGATCTCAATATTTCTGCTTTCATGGAGATCCTGAATATTCTCAAATAAACCTTTTATCTTGGGTTTCTTGGTATGTGTGTTATTCTGTCTATCGATCATGCACAGAGCCAAACTGGCGGAAGTTACTGATACGTTTTCAATATCGTTCCTCACTTTCGTGTTAAAATCCACAGTAGCTATCCGATTCGTTTCCTTCACGCTCACTAAAACGTAGTCCGCATGACCTTGAAACTCATGTATATCAGAGAGCCAATGTCGCCTGTATGTGTCTACATATAACTCTCCGTCATCAATGAGATCAGACAGACTCCTGGTGATGAACTCATCAAACTGTTCCAGACACCTGTCCTCAGGTATTTGACCCTCTACGTGAATCAGAACATGACCCCCTCCGCTGTTCCTCAAAGCTGAGACTACCTTCCCTAGTCTGTCAAGAGTTTTCTTTTTCTTTTCTAAAAGTTGTCCAGATTTCTTTCCAGCACAAATGATACCCCGTTCGGTGTGAAGAAGGATGCATTTAGCACTGTTGTATTGAGACATGTATGATTGTCCTACCGCCTCACATTTTGTGCAACCATCTGTAAATATACATGTGACAGTAAAATATTTGAGAAACACTTACTAAAAAGTGTAATGCATTGCAGTATACCAAATAACAGTACATGTATAGGTTGCCTTTCTAAACTGTCGCTTCTGGGAATCAGGGTCAGAACGGTAAAATCTGTTGATCCTGCACTGCACTCCTATGGCGTGGAAGGTTTCTCATACTGTTAGTCAGAAATTTGGTCCAAATTTGATAATTTACAGGTAACCATAGCTTAGTTGGAAAATTGCAGTGGCATTCAACTGCAGAGACTCACTACTTATTACACCCGATACATTACATATAGTACCCCAACACGTAACTTGATCTTTTCCTTTTTGTTAAAGCTTGACAGACATGTAAAAACAAACATCTGACCTGAAACAATTATTTCCAATCCATCAACGTGTATGACAAATTCGCATTATATGAGACCAAATAGTATGTGTCCAATAATTTTGAATCATCAGAACCTACTGTTGTAACAATTATTAAAATATTCTTAACATTTATAAACTGCAGGCAATCTTACAATAGCAATTAATATTGTTACCTATATACTTCTTAGCGGTTTCTGAACCCAGTGATGACATGTCATCAGCATCCTAGCATTAACAAAGCTGAATGCGCCTTCTTTGCAAGCCCCCGTCAATCACTCTGTAACCTGAAAACGTGTAATATTTGAATTAGATTACAAAGAAGAAATATTCAGATGGATGGACCGATGGAAGTATCTTATTTTTAAAGACTAAAGTAGACGTGAACTGTGATGTGAGGCGGTGTGTGTGTGTGTGTGTGTGTGTGTGTGTGTGTGTGTGTGTGTGTGTGTGTGTGTGTGTGTGTGTGTGTGTGGTTTGGGCAGAGGGTGTGTGTGTATTTGGAGAACCCTGGCAAAGTCAACCCGTTACCACTCCTACCCACAGTCCAGGAAGAAAAGGAGACTCCCCAACGCGGTATTCACCTGTATACTGTCCTGACAGGCATAATGATAGCATTTATACAGCTTCCACATTTTGAGAAAATTGTTTTATAACTGCGAAAAACACTTGAAAATTAGTCCAATATTATCTATTATACAGCGACGTGCATGCACGCGAATTTGTGTGTGGTTGCTTGTACTAGTCCAGCCTAATGCTGATTTTATAGTGATAGCCTACTGAGATACCAGTTTAAAATGAACACCTCTCTCAGACTTAGTGTACTCCGTACTCTGTGTGAATTCTGCATCCGTCGCGTTATCACATAAATATCATCTGGAAATATTCATGATAAATAAGTCGGAAGTATTGCCTGAGAACCTAAACCATGATAGAAGAAAACATGTTATACTTCCAACATATAACTCTTATAATTTCCCAGTACAGAATGAATGTGTCTTATACCAGGGGACCGCATAAACTGATCGACTATTCCATAATGTACAACCACAATACTAACCTGATGGCAAATTTCCTCTCTGATATCTTGGACATAAAAGTGTTGTTTAAAACATTTGGCTGTGACATAGAACACAATGAAACACAGGGCTCAACTGTACTGGAACGACTTTCCTCAGACACTAATACATATGCACTGTATCTGTCGTACAACCTCTATTTTCAGCCGATATTGCTGAAGCGCTTACAAGGTCTCTACCAAGTTACACCAAACGATTCATGTCCCACATATAAATAAATTCAAGGCAAGGAGCCAGATAGTTAACTCGAACAGAGTCAACGCAACACATGAGTAGTATACGATTTCACTTTTTCAGGCTTGAATTTCACAATGTACGTTTTTGTTATTACATAACTGTACACAAGTAAGTCATTGCATGCCAATGTCAAATTTTGTCGGTTTCAATTTCTCAATTAACTATTGAAAGAAACTCAATTTGAAATTCACATTCCCGTACATGCAATGACTCAGAAAATATTTCTGTCAACACAATGGCATTGCCACAACAGGTTTTGTAGGGTAAATATTGAAAACTAGGGATTGGCTGAATAAGGTCGCTGGAGGGTTATGATCTCAAAGGGCGAGGAAAGCGATAAAAGTAGGTGAGAGAATGTTTGTTCACCATGATGACAGTAAAGACAAGGAAAGCTAAACTATTGTTTAAAAAGTTGATTCCCATGAACAATAAACATCAACCCCATGATAAAGTTAAACAATAAGAGCGAAAGCTCACGGTGAAGCAATATGTAGTAATGCAAACACTCTGTCCAAACATGTACCTGTAACTCGCGATAACGCATTTCATGCTAGTGTTTCGAACATTATTTGGTAGTAAACTATGTTTGGTGACCAACACACTATCACTGGAAAACAACATCTAATACACACTAATTACTGCTAACATACAGCTACTATACTGCTGAGTGCGGCGTTAGTTTTGTCATATGTAACAGTTGGTTTAACCTTTTGATATGTAAAGAAAGCAGTATAAGTTAATATTTTTAGACATTTTGTTATAGCACTGCAATCAACATAAGTAAATAAGAGTGATATATCAAATAGGCACTGCAGTGCCAAATGAAAAACACTGATGTTTATATAGCATTACAATTCCATACATCACAAAAAATCATCACATCTAAAAATGTTCAATAATTTAACCCCCAATCTGCCAGTCTTATTAATATATATCTTTGTCAAATAGTGCCACTTTCATATCCTACATAGCCTGGCAAATCTGGACAAGACAGGTCTTCAGTTGTAATGGTCCTCTGTGAATTTACGTTCAGGTACGTATTATGTATTTCTCCAATAACCAATATAACGTGTCTATCAGAGTAAAGTATAAATCAGCATTTACCACTAACTATGAAATGGACGCCCAAATCAGCTTAGCCAATGGATTTGATACATGTATTACTCACTGTGTGGGGTATAATGCATACACATTCCTTGTTATAGGCATTAACATACCGGAAACAAAATCCAGGAGCATCATATCACAATAATCTGCTCATAAATCTGAAAGAGTAAAGATCCAAAACGTCTGGTAGTAATATTGATCACATATTATCAATGAGCTTGCTTGAGTTTTTTATTATCTTATTCAAACTAAGACTTCTTTATCTTTGCAGCCTGCACCTGTGTTAATGCTATAATTGCATCGCATACATCGTGTAGTTTATATGCCTCTCATAACGTAATTCATGCACGTTTTATTACCCTCTACATTTTACGATTTTGTTTTATCTCAAGAAGCTTACTGGTCTGAGATTAAACAATGTTGTCACATACTTTTGGGAAAGATTTAAACATCAAACCATAGAGTTTCATATCTTACAACAGTTGACAAAGAATACACTTTAATGAGCAGGATTAAAAGTTGGAGATTCAACAATAGACAATATTTTCATTTTACAAGGTTAAATAACGCAATACTAGTATCTCTCTAAAAAGGGAAGTAAAATGTATTCATGTTTTGTCGGTACCTTTAAGGCCTTTGACTCTGCTTAACTTTGGCACTCACTTTCTTAACATTGGTGGGGATCAAAGATGGAAAATCAGTTAGAGCTTCAATACGCACTTATGGTAAAAACCTTTCAAGTATGTTTGGCTGCCCGTTAGGAGTGCGTCAGGGTTGTGTATTAGGCTCATTCTTTTTGTTGATGGACTTGAAATTAGCCCCAACATCTAATAATGACATACAGCTAATTCCAGAGCTGATAGAATTATTCATTCTATTATTTCGGAGTGAGTGAGTATGGTTTAACGCCGCTTTTAGCAATATTCCAGCAATATCTTGGCGGGCTATTATTTCGGAGGATGCTCTCCTTTTTTCTCTGACATAGACATATTGGATTTTTTATTTAAGTAAAACTAAAGTTGTGTTTTTAAAACCATGGGGAATTTATCACAATTAGAGCAAGATCCTTATATAGAGATAGAGTCATCTTATACCTACCTTGGAATATTGTTTACCAGCATTTTGAGTTAGGATAAATATCCTGAATCTACAACTGTTGAAGCTTTTAAAGTGTCAATGTAAATCATGCAAAGTGTGGTGAAATATGAAAAATGTGCCGGTAAGTGCCAAGTAAAACTTTAAATAATATATACAAAGATAATACCAGCTGTATTTTATGGATCAGAAATGTGGGTTTATGGGAATACGTTTGCATAGAAAGTTCATGTTTATGCACGTAAACACATATTTGGGGATCGATCCTCAAACCGAAATAGTATTGCACTTGGAAAATGTGGCAGATACCCATTTTATATCCATGATACATAGTGCACACAAAAGGGCGAGCGTATCCTGTCCCGCCGGTGGCACCCGTCACAAATACATGCAAAGGCAAGTTAACTGTTCAACTGAACAAACACGTGAACGTTTGGTACAATCTTGCCCTCAATGCTGAATGTGTGGGGATCAAGAAAAATTCAAATGTTTCACATTATTATGTGTGGCTGTGTGCAGGGTCCGTTATCAAATACCTTGTAGTTGTATTAAAACTTTTGAGAAAATGCGCACATAGTCTTGTTTTGAAAACATATATGATATATAACCTTATTGTAATGAAAATGATGTTTTATTCCTTGGCTCTATATCAAACTGTTCAGGGGTACCATGTCATTAGAGGGTGCATTGCATTGGCCTGCTGTTTCATGGATGGAGTTCAAATAGGAATTCACCTTGCAATATGTAATGCTTGCTAAGTGAAATCTTAACTGCATACGTGTTGTACAAACATTTCAGGCTGCCTTTGTGGAATTGAAAAATATAATCGACGTTAATCCAAAGTTGTACCAACGTTGACCCAACGCAAGGCTATCGGTATTTAATCAATGTTTGCTCAACGTCTGACATCTAGCTGGGCTAGGTGTCCTACAACCTTGTTAACGCTTTACCGAGACCTTGAATGTTGTAACCCTGATCAAACAGATTTCTAGCACGAGCCGTATGACGTTAGAAAAAGCATGTACCGAAAAATTGAAAAGACACCTGGAGGTTGGAGCTGCTGTGATATTTCTCGAAATGTACACTCTTGGAAGTCATCGCTCTTGTAGAAAGAAATGTGTCATTCTGAATCTTATGCATTGATTTAAATATGGAATATATTCAACACCAAAACATTTTAGTGTATTTTTCAAACAAATAAAAGTTTGGTTTTCAATATCGTAGTACATGTATGGAATCAAATCACAAAAAAGCAAATGCTACAAAAAAAGCATGCATTCCATGCAAAAGTTGACTTTTATGCAAGACCCATGCATTTCACTACCCAAGAATGGGTATAAAAACATGTGCGTTAACAGGATTCCACATGCACTGTTTAGCATCGTGCTGACAACAACAACTCAGAAAAACAACAAAATTACGCAATTATTCAACATTACGAAATGCCACGCCTGTCCGAAAATGAGCGTCTGCGAGCCATTGGTATGCTTGAGGCAGGATCGAGTCAACGTGATGTTGCAAGACCATTTAACGTCCACAGAAACACCATTTGGTGCTTATGGCAACGTTGGCAACAGACGAATGCAGTCAGAGACCAACCACAGGGCGGCAGGCCACGCGTAACCAATAATCGACAAGACAACTGGATTCGAACAACACACCTATGAAATCGATTCCAGCCAACAACAGTGACTGCAAGAAGCATCCCTGGCCTTCGACGAATATCTGACGAATATGTGGGATGAGATGGATCGGCGCCTTCGACGTCAACCACGTGTTCCACAGACACTCCAGGAACTTCGAAACATACACCAGCAGATATGGACAGATATTTCACAGGACTTTGTGCGGCGCCTGGTCCATTCCATGAGACGAAGATGTGTTGCTTGCGTCCAGAGGTGGACACACACGCTATTGATTTGTAAATTGACATTTTGGCATGTTCATGTTTTTTTATGAAATCACGCATTTTCAGAAGTCAGTATAACAAATTAAACCTTTCAAACACTTAGAGGAGTCTTTTATCTGTGGCAAACCGAAATTGTTTCAGATTTGGTAAAAAACATAACTTTGCATTAAATCTTATTCAATGTCACAGGAACTTTTGTTGTTCAGTATAGATGAGGTTTCACCGGTCACTTGTATTTCTTCTTCAGATGGATGAATCAGTGAAAGGGAATTGGATCTTTAAGAATTCTTGAACGATATCACATCTTCAGAATATCTGAAGCTGACGGTAAACTTCTTGGTTTTTGCAGAAATTGCGATTCAAAAGCATAAACTTAAAGATGAAAAAAGGAACGCACAGTAAATATGATGATGTCAGCTTCTTGCCTAAATGTAATGTTCCCTTGTTTCACATACATGTTATCAATAAGGAAGTTCAGCATTTCACAAACTGTTTTCACAGTGAACTACTGATGAAATTTAAAGTCATATTTAACAGAATGTCTCAAACGTTTTAAGATAGAGAAGTAAGTACATCCACATTTTCCCTAATTGTTTTATGTGTGGGATAGTGGTGTACAAAGTTGAATAAAAAGTGTTTTGAAACAATATCACTTTGTTCTGAGGCTTCAGCATTTCGAGCAAATCCTATGACTTAAAATACACAAACTTGATTTTATTCCAGTTGTCTCAAAGAAGCAACGGCAACAGACACAACTTGTACAATATAGACGTCCGACCACACACACCACACGCTAGTTGTAGGTGGTCCTCAGTATCCAGGTAACTACCATCCTCTGTTTAGAGTTGCTGTGCATTGCAGTGAATGTTGTGGGAACTAGCCATCCGACAACAGACCATAACAAACTTAAAATATAATGAGTTATCCATCTTCAAAAACATGGTAACTCAAAACACAAATAAATATTGTTGAAACGCCCCGAAGTTTTGCAAAACGCAAATTAATCCAAGGGCTGGTATGAAAAAGAAGAAGTTTTGTGTCCTATATCGAGTTAAATATTTTTAATATTAACATGTACATGTGAAGCTTATATTTATGTATTTTATTAATCGCAAGTCAGATGACATACGATGGCATGTATGTCAAATGCAGGTGTGATTTATTAAGAAATAAAAAAGGGTACATTTGTGACAGAAATAACATGCACATGCGTTAAACTTTACATAGCTGCTTGTAGCATTAAAAGGTTTTAAGTTTCGTAACATATATGTTTTGCAGTATTTATGAAAATACAGGCTTCATTTTTTTACCGAGAAATGAGCACCTAAAGTAGGCAAAAACCCGTAACTTCTTTTCATCACGGTTGTGCAAAAGAGAAATCGTATAAACGAGTTGAAACGCGTTATATTAGTATTGTGTCATAAACGCATTACCTGAAATTAAAATTAATGCACTCAGTTCCAGTCCTTAACCACACATATGAATACATTGTACATGCGTTGTGATTGTCTGCAGATAAGCTAACCTGGACTGAATGTGACAGCATCGACAGCCGTCATCAGGGTACGATGACACGCTATAACACAAGTGTCTGACCAGCCGACACCCATTGAGTGAGCTCTTACTACAAACGAGAATTACTTTATACCTTTTCTGACCGGATTCACCATATATTAAAGCGGATATCTCTACACAAATGGATTTAAAAAAGTAAAGGAAATAATTATATTGTTTTTTAAAAGAATAACTATCTTCAATATATTTTTATTTCACTGTGATATTGTGTGATAATAACCTAGTTTCTCTCATTGTGAGGTCACCCTGCCACTGCGCTATCAGCTAAATTTGAACCACATAAACGCTCAGGGACTGTTTGCATAAGTGGCAGCTCAGTTTTATGGGACATGACGAATGAGAGTAACGCTAACCTTAGGCTTAAAAGGTGAAGAAATTGAGGACTGTAGATAACCTTTGTGAACGACTCCTGTGTTGTATTTTCTGCGCACCTTTTGGATTTGTTTCATGATTCAGTGTTTATTTTAACCTTATATTTTGTGAAACTTATCATCTAGCTCCAACAAATAACAAGCGTTCAACGAAACATACGAAGCAGAAACATCGACTCAGTTCAAGTAACTATAACATGTCAGCGTCAGGGAACAAACAGCCTCGATCATTCGATAAAACAGACGCACTGACGCAAAAGGCTAAACAGCAGTTAAAATTATATGACGGCCCAAAAGTCCACCTACATGACAGTGCATCCACTGTATTAGCCAGACATGCATACTGCTATGTATGTAGTACTGACTACCTTTTGTTAGAAACGGCGGTAACAGGTAACATCTATACACACAACAGTGAGTGAGTGTGAGTGAGTGTGAGTGAGTTGGTTTTAACGCCGCTTTTAACAGTATTACAGTTATATCGCGGCGTGTCAACTTAATGTGTGAGGAAAGCCCGAAATGATGCAGGTCTCAGACGTTTACCACTTCGGCGAAACCCACGAGCACGGGTAAGGTGCCGTATGGTGCGGCACCTTAGACGACTTGGCCACCCGTGCCCCCATGCACACAACAGCATTGACAACAGGCAACATAATCACACAATGTTAAACTATGCAACTGATACAAAAGGGTGTACATGTTGTTGGGGTTTACATTTACAATACCGTTACATCTGATCACAACATCTAATCACAATGCAATTTCACATCATACATGAACAACACGGGATGTACGTACACACAGAACCATGTGCGTAAGCCTATAGGGGAACTCACTTTCACTAATGTAATGGAGCTTAGCACATGCTCAAAAATGCCTCCGAGTGAAGTATCTCACTTAACAGATAAAATGGAGAATTGTTGGTAGGGTAGATGGGGAAACGTTAATATCCCAAGCTGCCCGAATCATTGGCGAATCAAAAAGTCTAATTTATTTTACTGTGGGAGAAGTACTGTCAAACGGATGGGGTTGCGATGAGACCTGGGCATGGCAGGCCCAGACGAGCGACACCTAGATAAGATCGTCTGATTAATTAAAAGCACTTCGCAATAGATTCGTATCTGTTCCACTTTGTTCAAGATCTACCGTTCAACATCGGCTCTATGGAGGCCGCATGAACACAAGGCCTGTGACATTGTTGGCTGAGTAAATAAGAAAACCTACAACTTCATGGATTCATGGATATCAACTTCTTGCGTATTGAATTTAGGGACGTTTCGATGCAGATTCTTACACTGTAGATTCATTCCACTTCACCTTGATAACGATGTTAGGAGCTAAATCGAAACGTTGCTGAATGCAATAAACAAGAATTGCTATCGATAAGGATGTACGTTTTCTAAAAATACAGGGACAGATATTCTTGAAATCACGTTTACAACATGTTGACTACCTAAGACTTACACAAATACACCTTAACCAAAATAGAATAGTATTAAGTGATGAACGATTTGGAAATCTACTCACCATTGCAACATGAAGCCGACAGTGGGTGTACATGTTTTATGTTATCATGTCGCCACGGCGGTGTCTCTATAAACTATTTCAAGAACACTAGCGGGAAAACATGTCACAACTGGTGAACAAATGTTGGATCAAAACAACCACAGACCAGGTAACATAATCTATTTGCCGACGTGCAATATGTGGGCTGATACTGGACACTTTGCAACTACTGTTGGTGTGTCTGTACAAGCATTAACTCTACATGTACCTGTACTGCTATTCGTCGATATGTATGTTCCTTCCGGGTCATTTAATAATAGTTTCTTCGTTATTAATAATATTATTAACATGTTTTATGTTAATTTTGAGAGTTAATCATAAAGTCTTCTTTAAGGAATGATTTAATATTTTCCCCATGTGTTTTCGGGAGGTTAATTACAATTGAAAAGAGGGAATAATGCATTTGAAACAAATAAGAAACCACACTTTTTATGCAAATTGTGTAAATAGGAGAGAATTGTATGCTCATTTTCGCTAATACCTGTTCTCATCACTGATTTTCAGTAATTCATCCATACAATTTTCACCACTATTTGCCATTTATGCCAAATGGAATAATGTTTAAGTGCCAAGTGCCAAGTTTATTTGTATTGCAAACCTCATTGCCAGAAATACTGCATATACAAAACATTTAGTTGGTCTGATTGTTGTTTAACGCCGCACTCAGCAATATCCCAGCTATATGGCGGCGGTCTGTCAAAAGTCGAGTCTGGGCCAGACAGTCAAGTGATTGACATCAAGCGCATCGATCCAAGCAATTGGGATACGATGACATGTATCAACCAAGTCAGCGAGCAGAGACCATTCACAAAACATTTACAGTGCGCTGATATACATAACGATACAACAAAAACACAAGTCCATGGCCAATTTCCATGTAATTACACTTCCCAATAACTATATTGGTAACTTCCATTTTAGGTATAAGGACACACTTTTGAAGTGACAAGAATTTGATAATGACACAAGCCACAACAAATATCTCTACTAAGGTAGTTTTAATAATAAAGTGTTATTCTGTTTCTCTGCTTGATTTATAATGCAGACATACAGGGAGGAAATGGAACACTTCTTCAAAACAATTTGTGTGCATAACAACATTTTCGGGATCAACTTGAATCTTAAATCTTTGACGTTGCATTTTCAACTTACAAACAAAATATACAATATAGTCGCAATAAATCCATACAATTAAATAATTCAGTTAAATATTGTTCAACTTCTATGACAAACTGTGGTATCTTCTTTCAGGATTTCATAATTACCAGTCAGCTCTCGACACACAGAGTCAAAGAATTGTTAAGCGATGTTAGTTCTGACTTCATAAGTATTAGCACTTGAGACATGCTTTCGCCATTTTGATAAAGTTCATAATTATTCAAATTTAGCACTGTCTGTTTACTTGACCTGCCTCTACTTCCCACATAGCCCCTGCTCCGCCCTGATTCTCGGGCCGGGTTCAACTCAGTGCCTCAACTCAATGTCTCCACTCACTTCCTGAGACCGTGGAGTGAACACCAACTTCCTTCGACTGACAGTGCTGTATTCCGTTGACCGAGTGACAACAGTGATCACTTCCGACGTCAAAGGCATTAGTCCCAAAGAACAGGAACAGACTAACAATAAGATAATCATATTCAGCAGATAGTCGAGACTGTTTATTCTTTATTATGTTTTCTTTATTGTTGATTATGTTTTCTATCAAGTGATGATATGAATTGCATCTTCAGTTGAGCGTCTACTACATTAGAGGTAGATGTCGAGTGCTCATTTCAGCAAGTGGCTAACGTTATCACGTTACATTAAGCATCTCATCGTTTTTGTCTGACAAGGTTACAAACGTTTATCAAACAAATCGAATACAAAAGAAATAATGTTTCAGTGTTGGGTGTTTGTGACGTGAAAATATGATAACGTACGAGGGCTTGTAAGAAAGTTCTAAGTCTGACAATCTTTCAACTGTGGGCCATAACAAAGTGAACCAGTCAATGTAGTACATTGTTTGGGTGGTTCGTTGCAAGTGTATTTGGTCTGTTGAGGCCGTTTGTTTATTAGTGACAGCAAGTTGAACGTGATAGGGGTCCAAATGGACACAGACAAGGGAAACAACAAGTATCGAGCTGTCATCCAAATTTTGACTTCAGAGAAAAGTACTCAACACGAAATTCATTACCGCATGTCACAGGTGTACTCGCCTAAGCTGATCCACTGTCAAACGCTGGGCAATGGGTCTTGACATCGAATCAATGAAGATTCAATCAAGGAGAGTGAAAAACGTATACTGCCAGAAAGACATATTACCATTGCTGATAATGAGGAAGACACAGGTCTACGCCATGGATCCATTGAAACTTATTGAATAAGACACCTGCTGACTTCGTGCCAACATTTCTAAATTCTGATCCTTAGGGAATAGAAACTGACATTGCCAGAGAAAAGTTTAAGCTAATTGAGGAGTATTTCGTCCCATTCTAAATGAGATAAGTAACGGGTGATGAAACATGGGTCTACCACTATATGATCCCGAGTCAAAACGTAAATCCATGGAATGGCACCGTTCTACTTCTCCGGCACCAAAGAAATTTAAGTCTTTAAGATCAGTTAATGGAGACATGGCCACTGTAGTCTGTGATGAAAGAGTTTTTGTTGTTGATTACTTAGACGATTACCGGTGCTACTAAATTGATTTGTTTCATCACCTGAGAGATTCTATCCAAGATATGCGGCGAGCTAAGGCTCTTGTGCGTCAATGTGGGCTCAAAGAGTATCCTCACCCTCCATACCAGCAAGACCTGGCACCAAGTGATTTCAAAAGGTTGCCTAAACTGACACCTTCGTGGAAAGCGTTGTGATGACAACGATGACCTCAAAGCTCCCACGAATGGGTATTTCTTCCTAACTGGAATTGAAAAGCTTCACTATCGATATGAAAATGGTATTGAAGTGCCGGTAGGTTATGTTGAAAAATAAAAGTGAGAACACTTATACACTTGTTAGTTTTGATTGTTTGGCTTGGAGCTTCATGACCAACCCTCGTATCAAATACATTCGGATATATTGATTGCAAATATGTACCTTTCTCTCAACATTACCCATTGCAGCATGTTAAACATTTGTAGTTTAGAATATACAAAATATGTAGATTATAAACAGATAAGAAGGGTCTATGTACAGTATACAACATATGTTTATAAATTTCAAGATGTACTCTATCTTTAAAATCGTAATAAAAAATCTACCAGAAAACTCTCGACATTTAACCCAACGTCGGTATCCAGCTTTCCGGACAGCGCTGTAGGGGACATGGTTTAAACGCTATACAGTTTATTACGTGCGGGATTATTAGTAAGTTGACAACTGATTTTATGTGATATCTTGAACGAGGGTAAGGCTGTTTTTCAAGATCGAGATAAGGCTAAGAAGGTGACAAACAAATGTTAAATTCAACAGTTGCTAAGTTTTGTCAGCTCTGGGTGGGTCTTGGTGGCTTGACTTAATCGTATAAAAAAACTATGATATTGATTTACACAATCTTCTGTCAGTAGTTATAACGTTTATACCGGCATGTGCGTTTCTGACGTCAAGTAGACATATCATATGAACACCGAACAGCTATACAAAGTACAAAATACACAGCCGGACGATCATAAATGTTTAAAAGCTACCATTAGAGTTACCTTCAATTTGAAACCAAAACCTAGAAGCATCTAGGGGGATGGACTGCAATATAATAATATTATTCTTGTCAATAACGGATTTGTACTAAATAAAGTTAGAATGAACGCTGGTTTGAGTCCTTACTTCGTCCTTGGTATGATTCTTGTTTTGCTGGCGTCGTACCGTGCTTGTGGATTTCACCGATGTGCTAAACATCTACTTTTATATGTATTTTATATTTCCATTAATATTTAGCTATTGAACTGTAATATACTGAAATATTGTTCTGAGTGGCACCAAACTCAACTCACTTGCTCACTGCCTGTTATTTCTTGTCTGGACGATATTTAGATCACAGGAACATGACGTTGTGCATGGTCTGACATGCACAGTGTCATGTCCCTGTGATCTAAATAATAATATAAAGTCAAACTAAAACCTTCACATTTTTAGAAGTAATATCATATATGATATACAACAGACAAATGTATCAGAGAAGGTAATTTTTAATCAATAATGTCCAAAGGAGGATTTTAATTAAGGGTGGTAACCATAATTTGTTCCAAGCACCTACAGTATTCGGTAATAACATCAACAGTGTAAATCATAAGTCCTAAGCACGAGAATCTGATGGCACACAAGTTCAGTAGCGTGTATGGCCACCATGTGCATTGACAACTGCCACACAACGCCTCCGCATGGACCTTGTGATGCTTGTGAACACGTGACTGGGAAGACGACGCCATTGTTGCTGCAAAATGGTGCCAAGATCCTGAAAACATTGTGGTTGGTTCTGGAGTGTGCACAGAGCATCCCAGACGTGTTCGATGGGATTAAAGTCAGGAGACCTTGACGGCCAGTCCATGACGTTGACTCCCGCATTCTGAAGGAAATTCCTTGTCAAAATTGTTGTGTGGGGTCTGGCATTGTCGTGTTGGAAGATCAAACCGGGTCCATGTGCTGTCATAAAAGGCAGAAGTTCTGGTGCCAGTACCTGGTCGCGGTAGGCAGCAGCGTTGAGGTTGCCACGGATGACAAGAAGCCTGGAATTTGCATTGCCACAGAAAGCACCCCACACCATGACACTTCCGCCTCGAAATCTGTCAACTTCCTGTACACAACACTGGGCGTAACGTTCATGACGACGCCTCCACACCCTCGCCCTACCATCAGCAAATCAAAGATTAAATCGGGATTCATCACTGAAGTCGACTTGATTCCAATTCCTCTGAGTGCTTCGTGCACTTAATTTTATCTGAAATTTCAAATTGGTATTGACCAAGTTTGTTATCACCTGTTTGTTTACCCGAATTCGCTGATGGGAAACGATGAAATATTTTCTTAGTGCATTATACTCGAAAGATTTTGGTGTTTTAAAAAAAAAAATGAATCCCCTAGAGGGGCCCTGTACACTATTCTCAAGACAATATGACACTGTCTTGCTGACTGCGATGA